CATTTGAAACCGTGATAGTTTCTGTCTGTTCATGGCGGTTTCATAGAAGAGCAACTGAACACTGGTGTAATGGTGTAATGCATCAGGAAGCTACTTCCAAGAGCTGGAGAGCAGAATAAACTAATCTGAAACATCCACCATTACTGTAATATATCTATCATCACTGAGGCACGTGCAGACTGATAGAAAGCGAGCACATCGAAACCAATGTCAGCAGTTGAAATTGATCATAATTCATGTATGAGATTATTCAAAGGTGGACTATACTGGATTACTACAACACCTCATTCATGTCATCCATCCTAACTCCATCTAACTCTCACTTTACAGACCAAGTTGTAGGTGGATTCAGGTAAGAAGAGCCCCTCATGTGATTCATCAGCATCTGCGACCCTTTTTCCTCTCTCGAGCACGTCCGCACTCTGTGTTTCTTTATGTGGATTTGAGTCACTCCTGTTCCTACTCTGTCTCCTCAGTGCGGTGCTGGTGGAGGAGGAAGGTTTTGCGCTCGGCTGCACGATTACGTCTGAAAAGATCATCTGGATTACTCTGTCGTCCTTTATATCACCTGCAGTGATGGAAAAGATTTAGCACTCTGGCCCCCTTTCACACAGTAAATAACAAATATGAAATGACACATGAATCAAACTTAGATCCCATTCCTGCTAAGAAAAAAAAAGAGATGAACTATTAGGAATGATAAAAATAGAAACTCTCACTCTCAGAAGATTGCAGCGTTAACTTTAGTAACAGTATATATTAGTTGTATTCCTGTATATTATGCAGTAAGTCATACTTATAACAGCCCAAATTGTCACTATATCATTTTCATTTTGTGTTAGTAAGTGCATTTTTCACATTGTCTCATAGACTGTTCCAGTCTGTTAATTTATTCATAATACGACAGATAATTGATCAGCATCCATTTTGGATAATTAATTAATTATTATTCATCAAGAAATAATACCAGCCCCGTTTGGTTATTTTCTCTGTTATATATCATTTTAAATCTAATATCTGTTGGACAGTCAAACACAGAGACTTTTGCAGACTTCGCTTTGGGCTTTCATAGACAAAAGAAAACAATTAAGCAAAAAAATAATTGGCAGATTAATCTGTAATGAGAATAATTGTTAGTTAGCCCTAGTAAGTAAAAAACTAAGCCCATATCTCAGAATTACTATATAGTATATAACAATTAGCAGGAATGGGCTTCCATATAACCCTCAATGACAACCTTGGATTTAATCTTTTTAACACACTTCCTTAATATGAACATTTGAGGTTGTAATTGAGGTGTTTAAACACAACAAATGTACACTATTGTGATAATTAAGACATTTAATTGTGCAGCCATTGTTCCTCTCTTCTCCTCTCTGAAAGGTGTCTGAACACCTTCCACTACACCGCACTGCTTTACACTACTCTGCTGCTGCTACTCTTCTCTCTCTCACACACACACCTTCCACCTGAGACTCTTTCCTCTCAGTTCAAATAAACGCACTTATGATTCACCATCAGCAACACTGCAGTCTGACTCACTGTCTGTCTGTCTGTCTGTGGAGCACAAAATGGAGGCATGAAACAACTAAACTGCCCTTGTAAGATAGAATTGGGTTTGTGCTGTCATACAGACCAGAATTAAGACAGTATATTATTACAGAAACAGTGAATTAACAGGTACAAATGTCAAAAATATACATCAGAGAAGTCCTGATGCACTTTAACATGAAAATATCTGCTCTGAAAGTTCATTGTAACATCGACGTCTAGCTGTGAAAGAACCGAGAAATTACTTTAACTCACTTAAATTAACTTGTTTAGATCCTCAGACCTTCATCAAATGCTATTTCTTGGTCCTTTCACAGTCAGGAGTTTTTGATCTAACATAGCTGACAATAAGGCTTTCTAGTGTAGAAGAACTTTATTAACAAACCATGTTTAAAACGCTGTTCAGCATTAAAACAAGATTTACTGCAATTTTAAAAAAATGACTGCCTCTGAGGTAAAAAAAAATTACATTTGTTGTGTCATATTGTGTTTGTTTTGCTTTTTTTCATCAGTAATTACAGTGACTAATGATTGATGGCTCCACAGCTATTATGAGTTACAGGAACAACACCAACACTTCCCCTGAAACAGTATGACGCTGTTGAATACTCTGTGCAATCATATTAATAAACTGCATGTGTCTCTTCTTCCAATTGCAGAAAGCTTTGGAAATGAAGAGAGAGGAATATGAAGGTTTACCAGGGTGGAAGCAAGTGAACTTAAAGAAGGCCAAAGGACTGTTTTAAGGAAGTTTTGAATGGAAGATGGAGTGCGAAGCGGATGAAAAAAAAGTGGAGATAGGGACACAGGAAATGCCACACAAACCCCATTTTGGTGGCAACACGCGAGGACAAAACGTCTGAATGGGAAGAAAACGTTCACGAAGGATGAGACTGGAGATGCATTCGCCTTGCTTATAGTCATGTTTTACCTTTCAACTTTGTCATTACATAAGAAAATTAAATTCAGACGGTTTAAGAGAAGGTGGAATCGCCTTGCTTCGGTTCATACACGGTTTTTTGATCTGGAGTCTCTTCCAAACACTAAAGTCACCACTCATGGACTTGAAGAAAATTAGGACGCTTGGTGTCAGAGTGCCATGCTACGGTTGTGTATGTATGTGTGTGCGATTGTATATAATGTCTGTGTGTGTTATGTTTATTTGTGTAAATGTGTGTGTAGGTGCGTTTGTGACTTTGTATCTATGTAAAAAACAAAATGTCATGTCAGATGTTGTGAGGAAAGTTGTTGTTTTTTTTCTTTGTCTACAGTGTCTGGATGCTGTCAGGCCACGTAGGTAACTCATGTTGCTGGCTTTTGTTTTAAACTGCTGAAGTGACTCTGACTTACTGAGAGCTCCCGAGAGCAGAGATGTAAGAGTTGTAATTTAAAAGGTTTGACTTTAACGAGTGAGAGAAGCAGCAGCTTGATGAATCTGAATGTATAGTGCCTTGCTTTTTGTGTACAGTTTATATACAGAAATTCTAGTCTGCATTTTTAAAGACTTTCTTTGTGATATAAGACATAGTGAATTAAATCACAATAATGCTCAAATCAAACCGTGTGTCATTCTGTGCCTTCTTCTACATACACTGCATTTCATTTGCTGCTAAATTCATTCAGTTTTAAATGCCAGTTATTTTTGTTGTTCTGTCTTAAACCTGCATTCTTTCTAATGGCCAGCAGGGGGAGATCCACATGCTGCAAAATAGAAGACAAGAAAAATGACCACATCTTGCTCAGTAAATAATAATAACAATACATTTAATTTATAGAGCACTTTTCAAGAAACTCGAAGACACTAAAAAGGAAAAGAAAAAGGTAATAACACTCAACAATTAATTAATCATTAAAAGCAGTTCTGAAAACAGACAATAAAGCAGGGTATGCTTTAGGATGTGGTTACCTCGTGGTTTGACAGGTCATTCTCAGTAAGTCTGTACAGCGTAATGCACCAAACTCAGTTCAAACAGTCAAACTAGTCAGTGCTGATTCAATATCAGTAATCTCTCACCACTCTCTGGCTACCCTACCCTGTCTATGGCACTTAAAGCCCAGTGGTTCCAGCTGAAGATGTGATTCTTTGGAAATGGCTCATAAAAGCATTGCTTCATTTTTATTAAACGTCCAGTAATTTTATGAAAAAGCTTGGTGCTGCAGTTTTCAGGAAATGTGACTAATGGTCTGGTCTTTTATTATTTTGTTAAAGGTCCAGTGAATAGGATTTACTGGCATCTAGTGATGTAGTTGCAATTTACAACACCTTTGCTTCGCTTACGCTTAGTAATGGTCAAAAGAAGTATCAAATAAAAATACCCACTATTAAAGTCTATGAAATAAAGATTCGCTGCAATGAAATAAGTTATTGATTACATTGAAAATAGTTTAAAAAAGCCACCGTTATTCAACACTTTTGCGACCTACATTCACAGTGACCAAGGTGATTATGGTCATATTGAAACTGAACATCAGCACATTCAGAATCTGTGTGTGCGTAATCAGAGATTTGTAAATGTGTAAAAAAGAATCTACAAATCTGTATTGAGGTTTGTAAATGTGTAGACAAACCTGTAAATGCTGATATATATCTGAAAATATGTGGACAAATCAGCATGTTGCATCTCGTGTAACAACGTGACCATTTGCTTGTTGCTTGATTTTAATGCCAATCAAATAAGCTCCTTTTTTATGACATTAACAAGAAGCAGCCATTAAGACGGCGCCTTTCCTGATGCTACTTTAAATATTCTCTCTCAATCTCTCTCGTGCTCGTTGTTGGGTTGTCGAGAAGGAAAACAGGAAGTGTACCTGTACCTTATATACAGTCAGGTCCTTTATGATTTATTATTTAGCTTTTAGAGGAATGGATGATCAAGCATGTCATTTACATATATATCTGTGCTTCTGTGTGTGTGTAAGAATGTATGTATACACAAATATATACATATATACATATACACACACATATACACACATATTTATACATACATATATGGATATATACATATACAAACATATACATATATACATTATACATATACATACATT